CAGAACTGCTGGGCTTGTTAACAGACTGCAGGGATGGTTCTGGAGGAATTCCACCTCCCTTGGAAAAAAAAAATCATGGGATCCCAGAGTGGTTTGGGTTGGAAGGGACATTAAAGCCCATCCAGTCCCACCCCCTGCCATGGGCAGGGACACCTCCCCCTAGCCTTTATTCCATGGGTATAGAACATAATCACAACTAAAAAAGACATTTCTCCCTGACAGTAGAAAATAACACTGAAATTCTGTGTGGAGCTGCCCAGCAGGGGCTCAGAGAACAGGGCTCTCCCAGTCCCTCCCAGCAACATCCCTGGCACAGCAGGGACAACGGGCAATAGCCCAGTTTGCAGCTCACACCAGCTGGCACCCGGAATTGCCCGGGATCCCGTTGCACAGGGACAACAGGAGTGGGGAGATGATGATCCACAGCATCCCCCAGGGATCTGTGGCCTTCCCGGGGAGCTGCAGGCAGCAGATGTGCAGTTTGCAGTCTAACAGGGCAGGATTCGTGGCGTGCTCAGCAATCACTCACTTGGGGGGGTGTTTACTGGAACAAGAGAACATTTTATGATATTTAGAAGGCTGTTTATGATCATTATTTCCACCAAATAAAGTCCATTCAAATAAACAATTCAAATCAGTGCAGAAAAGCAAATTTTTCGGAATATGAGGGTTCTGAGCAACCTGGTCTAGTGGAAGGTGTCCCTCCCCATGGCAGGGGCTGGGAGCTCAATGGTCTTGAAGGTCCCTTCCAACCCAACCATTCCATGAATGGTTTTCATCTCCTTCAGGAATTGTTCCCCGTAGGCCAACTCAAAGGTTTGGAGCCATTGCAACCTGGGGCAGTGGGAGATGTCCCTGCCCATGGCAGGGGGTTGGAATGAGATGAGCTTGAAGCTTCCAACCCAACCCATTCCACGATTCTGTGAGTGCCTCCTTGGTGCTGCATTATATGTTCCATCAGGCACTGGTGTTTTGGGTGCTGTTCCCGTGGTTTTGGGGTCTGGGAGGATCTGCTACGTTATATATTCCATCAGGCACTGGTGTTTTGGGTGCTGTTCCCGTGGTTTTGGGATCCTGGAGGATCTCCAGCCCCGCAGTGGTGGCACGTGGTGAGTGGCTGATGTTCTGGAGAGGGGCTTTGGTAGAACCCCAGCACTGGGTTCCTGATGCTTCCACCAAACTGGCCGGTCTGGGGTCCAGTTGGGGTTTGTGGTGAGGGCACTGTCACCCAGTTTGAGCCAGCTGAGGTGCTGAGGGCACCTTTGGGACTGGCAGGAATTCCATCAGGGCGTGGTTTATGGAAAGGGGTGGGAATTTGGGAAGGGTCGGCTCAGGGGTGGCACCACCACAGGAAGCTCCTGTTTGGCACCAAGACCCCCTGGCAAAGGGTGTCCTCCCTCACCCTTCCCGTTTGTAAAGCTAAAATACACACTTTTTGTTATTATTTGTTAGAAAATGTGTTTGTGGTGAAGAATGAACTGTGGCCTGTGGGTTGTGCAGGAGCTGCTCTGCTCTGGGGACCA